TATATTGTACGTATTTCTGCGATACGTATTTGTCCCTGACGTACTTTTGTCCATACGTACTTTATACTGTACGTACTTTTGCGATACGTACTTTAATCCTACGTACTTTTGCTTACGTACTTTTGTCCTACGTACTTTAGCGATACGTACTTTTGTCCGTAACCCATTCACCCATTCGCGTCACGACTATCATTGATGGTAGCGTCATCTCTCAATGAGGCGCTAGGTGGCTAGTTACAAGCACCGAAAGAGAAGTATAGAGGACGCTGCTATCGTGGTCTGTTCTGCTCTTGGCAATCTCAGCTGCAGTTCTGGGGACTGGAGGTGACTGGCATTCTATGATGTTGCCTGCTCAGTGAGTGCGTCTTATTGGTGTTCCTGGCTGAAGACATCACGCTCATAAATAAGCAATCACTGACGAATGTCAGTCTCGTTCAGGACGAGTGACAACATTACGAACAACATATTACCACTAGAGGACAGAGTGAGGACCTGTACCTATAGATGACGCTGTGATCGTAATTTCACAATCACCACAGAATCGGCCAAGGGACAGGGATGTGTTCTTATGCATGACTTGCAGTCTCCATGGAGGTAACGTATATTCAATTTATCACCCAATGTCTAAATTATATAAGATGCATGTTTTTATTGTAAAATGCTCTACATTACCATAAAAGGCATTCATATAATATAAAAATAGGTAGGTACCTATCCCTTTCCATATTAGGTAAAATATAATTTTCAATTTTAAATTTCAATTTCAATTTCAATTTCAATTTCAATATCACACTTCTGCAGGCTGCATATACCGAATTCTTAGCATACTCGACCCTCAAAACTCACTGCCTCGAGCTTGCCATGCCCATGTGGCCTCATACGCATATTGACATTCAATGTATCGCATGCGAGGACAAATATGAGGACAGTGCAGTCCCTTAGCCGCGATTGGCCTCCTGACCCGTTCGCCCACTCTCTTCCACCGCTGACATGTGCCGTTATCCCACCGAAGGGTCCCCCTCACGTCCCGTCAGCTACCTCGACCTCTACCACCTCGCCTTGCGCTCGCCTCTACCCGTCGGAAGCCGCGGCTGTATCGAGCGCTCCCATTGGCCGCCGCCTGTGACGGCGTCTCTCATTGGTCAGACTTGCTGTTCTGCCGTATATGGTTGGCCGCCGGCCTGGCAGTCGCTTTCCTGGTAAGCGCCGCGCAGTCCGCGAGTGGCCTCAGAGAGGGTGGTGCCGGTCGAATCCCGGGCGGGTGGCGGTGCACGCAGGAACTCCAGAGGAGGACACAGGCTCTCTGACTCTTGTGAAAGACTCGCCATGGCGTTTCACGGCCCTTCCTACGGCCTCAGCCGCGAGTGTCAGATGAAGGTAAGTTGGGATCACGTGCACAGTGAAAGGTGCACGCTATGCACTCCGCTGGCCGGAGGGGTGGTCAGCTGAGCCAGCGACCGGTCTGCTATCTCCCATCTGCTGTTGCCTGTTCATGCCGGTTTGGGCTGAGTGTAGTGACGGAGCACTATGTGATGTCAGGATAAAATGCGCTGCTACGTGATTGTTGCACAAATCAATCGTGTGTTCTAAATGGGTTACGACTTACGACCGTACGTTTTATGTTAAGCACTCGACAGTTGACGGGACTTCAACGCTGCCTTTTCTGCTATCTCGCCTAGGTAAAAAAGTTTCAAGTTTGTTGGTGGTTTCTGTTTTATGAGACAATCATTCTTTTACCCGCTGGACTTTTTGGCATCATGAGTAAAAGTATCGATGTAACATCATCTGATTTTTGCGTATTCAAGTCACGTAATTTGTGCCTTCGCCTCCCGATCCCATCCTTCCTCCAATTGGGGCACACTTCTCTTCAAAACCGGCGGTGTTACGCCGGTGGATAAGCCGATGACGTGTTGATTGTTCACGACACAGTGAATATGCAGACTTCCTGAACATATCGGCCCGCGAGCATCCGCTTTCCTTCTAGCGCTAATCTGGAGAGCTCTACGCTGACTTCCGTGTGTTTTACGTAAGAACTAAGGAGCGTTTCGATGTTGGGATAAGTGTCCCTCAATCAGCTGTGAAACACAATAGCAAGGTTGATTGCAATGGAAGAAATAGAAGGAAAGCGGGCATGCTTTCCAGTTATACATTTGCGTAATGTACGTCTTTTGACCTTTCGAGAATAAAGAGGTTTATTTTTTGTTGTTCTTAAAGGAAATAGTTCACTTTTTAACATGGGTTTTGAACTGGAATAGCAGTTCCGTAGCTTGGGCTGAGACGAGCATAAATCAGGAGCTTTTACAGCCCAACGATCACCCTAGGCAAAGATATTCTATTTCTCGTCCCGAAAAAGGTGTCTTGCGTTGAGGATGTGTGCCTTGCATATATTTCCATCCAGTATGAAAAGAGCATGGGTCCCGAAAATTATTCAGAAAGTAGAGAGATTATCTACGAGAACTCTAGAGAAATTCTCGTGCTGATCAATTAGGACATTCAGGGGAACATTATCAGATCGAGCAGATCGCCCAAATGCCGGTGGCTGCGATAATTTCTCTGTTTCTGAAGAATTTTCGGGACCCATGCTCTTTTCATACTGGATCGCGTGTGCCTTACAGAAACTGAAAAGTTCTTCCTATATCAAAATATAGAAAATAATCTTTTGTTATAAAAAGGTTTTATTTTCTTTGCTGATTATTTTGAACATAAAAAATCATAAATCCGTTGCAAAAAAAATAATTTCGTGAAAGTGAACTATTTCCTTTAACAAGTTTTCACAACTTATATCTTCGTTCACTGCATAGTGCTCCGACATCGTACAGTCAAACGTCAAAACTGTGGTCAAAACGTCTGTTCTTTTACCAAACCTTTGACATGACCTGAAGGCCGGACCGCTTTTTTTCTTTTGATAGGGACTGGTAATTAATAATTATGTAATTGCATATATCCACTCAGTAGTCAGTACACACAGCAGGTTACTTTCCTGCCTCAGCGTATAGCTCCAAGTCTGAAGTTGCAATCCCTACTCAAACACCGCCGTATTTGTACAGCACATTGTTTGGCGATGAATCACGCGATTCTTGTGTCCATATCACATCCTTCTCACCACGCCAGTGCCTGGTCTGGGCAGGGACCCCTGCAGCAGTGACGGTCTCAAGTCGACATATCGTCACCTACTGAGTGATTGATCGTCCAACACGGCCATATTGCACGCCATTGCAATGCCGATGCATGCACTTTGTTCGTGTAGCTTATAACAAGATGTGTGCTGGACAAATTCCAGATACAAATTAATGACGAATGACATGCCACCGCTGAACTCTGCAGGGGCGTGAGTTACGCTGATTGGATTTCCATTTGACATTTCGATGACTGGATAGGTCATCGGGATTTGACCGTTTGTGATTCATACACCGGAATTTCAGAATGAAATATGGCCTACGGTAATGTGAAAGGCGGGCAGATAAAGTTGAAAGGTCTTTGTTAGAACGGTGAAACCGAATTAACTTTGCTTGCCATGCTTTGATATCAAGAGTGGAGATATGAGACTAAACACCGTCTCTCTCTCTCTCTCTCTCTCTCTCTCTCTCTCTCTCTCTCTCTCTCTCTCTCTCTCTCTCTCTCTCTCTCTCTCTCTCTCTCTCTCTCTCTCTCTCTCTCTCTCTCTCCTCTCTCTCTCTCTCTCTCTCTCTCTCTCTCTCTCTCTCTCTCTTTTTCTCTCTCTTTCTCTCTCTCTCTCTCCTTTCTCTCTCTCTCTCTCTCTCTCTCTCTCTCTCTCTCTTCTCTCTCTCTCTCTCTCTCTCTCTCTCTCTCTCTCTCTCTCTCTCTCTCTCTCTCTCTCTCTCTCTCTCTCTCTCTCTCTCTCTCTCTCACAGCATTTATGTTGATGGCGCGGAGAATGAAAGCACTAACCCATTTAATCATCTATTTATTACACATCTGTGCCGCGAAAAAATGCATCTGTTCACTGGCTCAGGGTTATATATTGCTTGCTATACGGTTTGCACTTTGCTTCCCGCGCACTCGGAGTGTTTCACTGTCAACTCAACCTTGGCTCAAAGGGACCGGCAAAATTGGTGGGCCGGCGCTCGGTTCTTTCCTTGGGTGGTCATGGACGTGGGCGTGGCTCTATTTGGAGAAGAGGAGGGGGGGGAGGTCGCGGGTAGCTGCCCTAGTGGGCAGCACTGATGAAACTGATAAACGTTTCATCAGCAAAACCGATGAAATATGGGGTGTTGATGAGATGCAGAAGCTGTGCACTGCATCGTGCTCGCACTACTGTAATTCCTCACAGTATTGTCTTTGTATCAGCTAAGATCTACGGGCGAGCTACTTCGTCGTCCTTGTCAAATTTTTGTTGGAGCGGAGTAATCGCCTGTTTACGTCGGGTGCAGTCGTTCCATTGTTGGAGCTCAAACAGTGGCTTCATCCAGGCGAGAATTCTGTGACAATGAACATGCAATGTGCATTAACTGGTATGCCTACCTATGCAGGGCGCAGAATGGTGCACGATTCGTTCTTTGGATGGTCAGCGTGAAAGGTCACCCGAAGGCCGGTATACTGAGGCCTATAACTAGATGGTAACACGTACTTTATTCTTTTTTATTTGTTGTTTTGTGTGACCTTACCTGTCCAAAATGCTATGAAGCATACCTAGAGAAGAGATGGAAGAGCTACGGGAAAATAATTTCACACCCTGTCACAAAACCGATACAATTCGTAAATTCTAGGAGGTCACCGCATTTGACATTGATTTAGTTAAGTGGAACTGGCCTAATTTCTTGTCATTAAGCGATCGTGCTAGAGCTTCGTTACATATGTTGAATAATGTATTTAAATAAGGATACAGTTACCTTGCCCATTGTAGGGTCTCTTACTCTGATATTCTCCACAAGTCTGACTCAAGCGCCCAATTTAGCAATGCGGCTCACTGTCTTTATCGTGTGATGCGGCCTGATGCCTGTCTGGTTCAATGGTTGGCGTTCCTTGATGGTCGGACCGACCCAGATGAGCGGCTGCCTGCACCGATCGCCCCTTTACCATCTATTGTGGCTCTCGCTCCATAATTCTAACCCTGTTCCGGTCCACTGCCTGTGACCATACCCGTGAACATATACCCTTCCCTTTTCCCGGTCCACCCTGCCTTGGCCCAACCCTATACCCGGCACCTCTGACCACCGTTTTCCCCCCGGGCGCCTCAGGCGCCGCGCCGGCCGAGGTGGCTGGAATGCAGTCTATATCAGCTGAGCGTGGTCCCGCATGGCAACATTGGCCCACTTGGAGGCGGGCGCAATCGGACGGGTACTGGGCACGTCTCGCCTACTTCTCTGCCTAACTGCCTAACTGCCCCTCGCCGCGCTGCCTGAGCGCTGGTGAAAGTGTATCATTGCCGCCACTGTCTTTGCCATCAGAAGCGGTGCATCAGGGTATAGCGAAGCTACCTGACAGCGTGTTTGCGTATAGTTTTTTGAGAGATTACTGTTCACATTTATAAAACTGCTCAATGTTTACGAGCTCAAGAGTTCAGCAGTACGCTTTTCACTATCAATATTTTCCGCTAGACGCTCCACTTGTGATGCAAATGTGAGCTCTGCAATGCTCTTCTAAATCTAAATAAGTATGAAAAGCGTCAGGGGCGGCGGAGTGCGCTCTGTCCCACCCTGAGCCGCCGGGGACGGTGTCAGTAGGTGCCGGCGAGCCGGAAGGACGCCGTGTCACGTGTCACGTGTCAGGTGTCAGGCCGGCCTGCCGACACGGCACGCCGCAGACAATGGCCCGCATACCGAGCCAGGTGAGCCCCGCTGCGGCGCCGGCGCTGCAGGGGCGGATGCAGGACCGAGAGGTTGGGAGGCTTCAGTGGCGGAGGCAGGGTCGAGAGGCTGGGGATGGGTGGTCGGATGGCCAAGAAATGCTGAAGCTGCGTTGTTTGATACAAGATATAGGGAGGTAGAGTTCGCGTTGACTTCAGGAACAACGCTGAGTGCGAGGAGCGCCGTGAGGCTCGTAAACACTGGAAAGCAAAGGGTTAGCTGCTGCGGTGAATACAGGATGGAGAAGAGGGGTGACAAGGGATGATGAGCTGTTGCACACAAAATGAAAAGCCATGTTCTCAAATAAATAATTGATCCCCAAATTAAGGTTCTTTCTCTACGAATCGTCTCTCCCCTTCGCTAATCGGAACTCAAGTTATAAACCACGATGGATGTCGGACCTTATCATCTCCAGTACACTACTGCATTTCTCTGAATTGTGATGTCACTCACCCATCTCCTTCACCTGTCCCGTGCCAACAAGACTGCATCTTTCGACCCATGTCCGGCCAGCTCCACCCTAAAGGAACCAGGGTCCTCGGTCGGCTGGGGAACTGCATCCTGCAACTACGGCTTTGCTGTCACCATCATCACGACTCTCGGGAGTTGGTGTAGCTCGGGGTTGCGTTGGTGACCGCCTTGCAGTGATCGGGTGGGAACTCTGGGATCAGTTTATAGGCCTTTCTGTGGTCGGTGGCTAGGTGCACTCTGTTGTGCAGGTCAGAGCTGAGAGGCAGGCCAGATGATTGCAGAACAAAAATGTGGCGGTGGCAGAGTTGTTGACTTTGTCCACTCCGTTCCTGCAACGTACCCCGTGGAATCATAATTGCTGTCTCAAACAAGCTGTATATGTTGCCCGATTTTACGAATGAACTTATTTGTAGTTGTGTCTTCACCATGCCCTGACCTATGGTGCCCTTCCCTGTGCTGCACAGTCTCAGGCCAAGTTCAGTCTGGACCGGGCGCGCGAGGCGGTGGACTGGGTGGAAAGGGTGCTGGATGAGCCCGTCGATTACCCCAGTCCCGACGAGGGTCTGCGGGATCAGCACGACTTCGGCGCCGTGCTCAAGAACGGCACCGTCCTCTGCAAGTGAGTACCGCTACCTGCCACTCTTGTGCTACCAGACGCCTCTCATTGCATGCCGAGAGGTCGTATACCTACGTACAACATACAAAGTTTCATGCTTATCCGATGTCAACTGAAAGGGAACTGGGGTGAGTGTAAAAAAAAAAGATAGAAAAACTTATATCTCTACCGTCTCTTCCGGTCAGTGACATGGACTTGAACGCCCATTCAACGTTTCGCATTACCAATGCAGCTCGTGCCTGCCTCCACCTCCAGAAGTACCACACCACCATCCTGCGACTTATAACCGCCACCTAACAAGCCGAGACACACCCCCTCCATCACAGTAACGCTTGCATACCATCCCCTCTGCGCGCAGCGTGCAGAGCATTGCACACTGCACAGCACGCTCTACACTCTCTGTGTGCGCGTGCCGGCTCATTGTGCGTACCACCCCGCCGTCGTTCTCGTCGCGTCACGGCGTCGCTTTATTATCCTCGCGCCGCGCCGGGCGGTGCCGACAGGACGGAGGACGGTGGAGAGCATTGATGAAGCGTGCAGAAAACGGACGTCCTGAGATGTGGACCGTGCAAGGTTACAAACAAAGGCATTGAGGGTGGCAAACACGCTCAATAGAATGACGTGAGAGTGACAGTTTATCTTAGTTTCCTGTTTCTTTAGACAGATGCTAGGCTATTCCCAGTAAATGTTCACTTCTTACTCAGACTGGGGATGTATGACGAGCTGTTTTTTTTTTCGCTGAGGACAGCTCCGCTGCTCCACCTGCGGCCTTATTGAGGCCACATATCCGTTGTGACGTCATCAAACTACTGTTCTTTGGTCGTCAGAGTCATCAGAGAACACGCCGCGTCACCAGTTGTGTCGTAATACGCCCGAAGTGCCGCGGTGGTCTCAGTGCGCCACTCTCTGTCACTGACTCTCTGAATCAGTCGCCAGCGGACGGACGGTCGCCTCGAATGGGCGGGCGATTCGCCGCGCTGACCGCGTGTCGCCGTGTCCAAAATCCCGTGACGTCATAAATACCAGTGGTCTGTGACGTCATTGGTCATCCGGTCTCCATGCCGCGTCCAGCAGCTTTGTCACACACGCTTTCAGCTCAGGATGTCACTGTGGCGAGACTGAGCTCGATCTCGCCGAACGAAACGACAAACGCTTCTCCGCAAAGTTGCCAGAGGCGGCCGCTGGAACGGTCCCGATCAGGCTAATATCTCCCGATCGTTAGTCGTTTGGAGTCTTGTAGAACCGGGAATTAAATTCCGACTCGACGAGTTTATGGTAAGATGTCGTCTCCGATGTGGGGAGTTTGTGAACTCCTGTGTCTCCGGTCCGGAGAGTTTGTAAACTCCGGTGTCTCCGTTGCGGGGGGTTTGTGAACTCCAGTGTCTCCGGTGTGGAGAGTTTGTGAACTCCGGTGTCTCCGGGGCCCTGTTTCACCGGTGATAGCAGCAAGCTGCTATCACGTTTCGCGAGCTGACGTCATGTCGTGACGCCATACTGTTGTCGTAATGGGTAGTTCCGGCGCACGATTGCCGCGACCTTGGCGGCGGCATTAAGTGACGTATGAGCCTAAAAGTAAGAGTTTACGCAGTCATGATAGTATATATATTTTTGATGTATATTTTTTCAATATGATGTATTTAAAAGAAGTTGGGTTTAGGAAAAATTTGGACATTAACTTCGAACATTTAGCTGATGACGTAAAACAATATTGCGGCAATCGTGCGCCAGAATTGCCCCTTACGTCAGCAGTATGACGTCATCACATTACGTCAGCTCGCGCAATTTGATAGTAGCTTGCTGCTATCACCGGTGAAACAGGGCCCGGGTGGGTGAGTTTATCGAGAATGTCTGGCTGCTAGATAATAGTGCGTGCAGCCCGACGGATGTAGTCCCGATTAAAACTCCCGTTAGTCGATTGACTATCAATGCGACGTGCAGATCGAGTGAAGTCCCGGGAACGGAAGACCATTTCATGGATGACCACGACTGAAGGGCGATGCTATCGAGAAGTGGTCAAAGCGCAGCTTTTGGATGATCAGAGAGTCGACGCCGCGATATTGGCTGATACCAGGCGACAGTCCACGATCTATGTTCCATGACGTACACCGACAGTGGAGTTGGCTGAACCAGTGCGTCTGTTTTAAATTCAACTGCTCGGCCTTGCATTGGTCACCTCAATAGGCTGCACGATTGGTCGGTGCAATATCGATGCCGGCTTTTTTACTGGAACCTGTGAACGATTATCGGCTTATTCGGCTGGGCGTCGCCGCTTTTTGGAACCTGCCATGGGCGTTGTCTGGTGATCGCCAATCCCGCTATACTTTCCTGTCAATGTGACCTCAAGGTAACCGTACAAGGCATTCATTGTCTGCAGTTATTCACTCCGTAGTACAATTTTGTTGTAAGTACAGACATGAGCACAACATTTTTAGTCAGCATTTCGCGGTTTTAAACCATCCCCAGCACATTAGAATCCCACAACAGTCTCCGCTCATCAAAACGGAGTCCATAGCCTGGGCCATCCATCATCCGGTGTCAGCCGTTTCGCGCCGGCCCGCTTCACCGTACCGGTCCCGGTGGGGCGGGCGGTGCATACCTAATGGCGGGCGCCCATCTCGCCTCCTCGCGGCTGAGCGCATCGGCCCGCACCGGACCATCTGAGCGGCGGATCGGACCGGCTGCATACCGGCCACGAATTCCGTAGGAGAGTGGGCCGAGTGGTGGCGACGAGCGGGGACAGGGACGAGGGCTGGGACGGGGACGGGGACGGGGATGGGGACGGGGACTTCTATCGTCGCGACTGCTTGTACAGAACTGGGGACCCACCCATGCCTTATCAGCAAGCTCGGGACTTGTTCGGTTCAGGTCTGTTGGTATTTGTCGGCCACCGAGCTCCTTGGTTACCAACAGTTGTTCCGATGACGTCATTCATCCGCTTGTGTATCTGATGCCCCTCATCCTGTCGGTTCCTCGGGTACGTCTGACGTCGGGCGAGCTACAAAACACCCACTAACCGATGGATACCGAGCTGCCCAGCACATAGCCGTATCCGGTTTGTACCGGTTCGTCTCGATCCGCTCCGCTGGCCGATGAAACTCCGAGAAAACCAGATTAGTGACGCATCTCTCTCTAATTGATCGGATAAAAATGATGGAATTACTCGTCCGTTCGGCCCGGATTTGACCCTTTGCAGAAACGAGTATTTCCGGTAATGCGATTTGTCTTGTTTTTACACACAGCTGTAATGGATTTCGTGCAACCTGCATGCATTTTTCTTCATTATTTAGAAGTACCTTATTAAACTTGTCCTGATGAATATGCAGGACGACTGCGGTGTGCTAGAGGCTCGGCCTCAGGGCATTTTCAGCTCGCTGCAGAGCGCGTCTGGGCGTCGGTCCGCGGAGTCAGCGGGGACGCGTGCCTGAGTCGGTCGTTGGCCCTTCTGTCGCCGCCTCTGGGACTCTCTAGCCCACGGACTCGGCTAACCCGACGCCGGTGGCAGCAAAAAGTCGGCGAGACGGGCCCGGAACCTGCCTGACACCGCGCCGGCCCGTCCCGTCTCGGTCCGGCGCGGCACCGACCTCGTGCGTGGGTTCAATCAGCCAGGCGACAGACGGCGAGCAGAAGCAGTGACCCAGCTTCTCACACCCACACAGCTGACAAAGACCATGCAGGGGTCAGCCAGTGATTTGCAGTTTCAGCAATTGGCATCCAATGGAAGTGTCCGGCGGAGCAGATGGCGAGTTGCAATCAACGGCGACCCAGTCTCACGGCCTCGGCTGGCGGTGATAGTGGTAGCATTCAGTCCTTCCTATACCCACTACGCAGACCCGGCGTTACCTAGAACCTACCGCACCAGACAGGCTTTGGGTCAGTTCCGCGTGGGTCCGGCCAGGCTTGTGCCTGGCGAGTGCGCCACAGGCCAGTCGCGTATACCGGTTCTGGGCCGACTCGGCCGCCCGGCAGAGCGGAGGAGCGCACTGGCAGAGGAGAGGAGAGCGCCGGCAGAGCAGTCGGTGAAGGGTAGAGGGAGGGCAGGCAGAGGGGAGCAGCACAATGGGTAGAGGAGCGACACAGTCCGAGCGCGCGGGGCAGAGCGCGGGATTATCCCGGTCGAGATGTGCCGCGCTTAAGGTGCCGGTCGGACCGAGGTGGAGGTATACTGTGTTGTCTTTCGCGACGACTGGGCACGAAGCATCGCCGGTTAAAATGGAAGGGTGTTTGGGACGTTTCGTTCGCTATCAAGCAGAAATGCTGGTCTATGATTCGAAAGAGGATGTGTGAGACAGGGGGAAATCTCGACGGAAGTGGAGAGATAGAGAACTGGGTCGGTCGGTCTACGGAGCCGAGATAGACCCGAAGAACAAAGACCAGAGGTTGACTCATGTCGAAAGAGGTCAAGGGAAATATCGATCGAGGAAAAGCGAGGAAAATGCCGAGAATGTGACGGGAACTAACAATGGTTATCGCAGCTTTGGGGAGAAACGAATGGTTTACTGAAGGACACGAATGGAATGTCTACAATTCTGTTCTCTGGTCGCACAGCACAGTTGCAGGTGCACTGTTATATGAATACCTGAAGTAACCATCGTACCCTGTGACCTCTTCCTTACCAACCAAATGCCACTGAGACCTGGGTCAGCGCTCATGTGCGAGGCCATCTGTGCAAACATTGAGGTTCTGTGGTACCCCACATCTCTTGTTTTCCTGTTTACGCCACTCTCTGTGTAGAGGCAGTTGCAATAAACAGCCAGCAACTAGCACCGGCAGAGACGCTGAATTGCAGATCTCCTAAACTAAGATAAAAGCATATCAGTGTTCGTTTAGACCCAGTTTGGGCGAGACGAGGAAGACCTGTTAGGTGCCTGGTGGACGGTGACTCGCAATTCGTCTTGCTACCTGGGTGCCGGAGGATGTCTGTAGGCTGTCTGTCAGCTGATGTCGGACAAGGTCATGTATGTAGAGACTCGCCAAATGGCTTTTGGTGCCACCAATGACTGTCTTCATATATCTAACAATTGACAACCTCCGGTACTGGAGGCTGTCCCATGCCGTCTGATGTTGCATGTTGCCAAAACGACCCGTCATGACGTCTCTGGTGGCCGTTCACCGTCTCCATCTGCCTCACCACCCCGTTACCGGAGGCAATCCCAGCCGTCTGGCGTCTGACGGTGCTCCCACGGCCGGCTGTAGCGGCAGACAGTGACGGTGCAGCTGAAACAACACCCTCGCCGCCGGCCTGGAAGGCTGGGAGGGTGACCGGACCGGTCGGGCCCGCGGCAGGGCGTGGCGCTGATGGAAGGGCGATGGCCGGCCGGAGACGGTGCTGGAGCGAGGGGAGAGGAGGGAGTCTGGAGGGGAGGGGAGAGTGAACAGACTAAGGCCATATGGTGTGGAATGGATTTAGGATTCAATGTCCTTTTCAGCCTGCATTCCAGCAGCATCCTACATTGCACCGCATCAACACATCTGTCTACATCAGTCCACGTAAATGCACTGCCAGTCCAAAGCAGGTCAATGCCAAGTCAGTGAAGCTCATTCTACCTTCAGACAATATATTATATTCATCTTGTACTTTCGTCACTTGTCAGTGGTGTGTCATCGCTCCATAGCCCGTCAGCGCGCTGACTTTCGTCGGTAGGCTTTTTTTTATAAATTTAGTCCGAACCTTTTGATGGGAAGGATTCACAAGGACAGAGCCACCGCTAAGCGAAGCTTGTAGGCTCGACTAACTCTGCAGATCCCGCTCGGACCGAGCCCGCGTGGCCGGCGTGTTTTGATGTCACGTGCCGAGTCGACAATGGGCGTCCGACCGACCGTGAGCGGTCTGGCCTTGGGCTCACCTCGCGCTCGGCGCGCGCCTGTCCGCTCACCGACTGAATGGCTACTCACGCGTCTGTCCTCGTCTGGGTGCTGCTAGTGGGTGCGGGAAGCAGTCTTACTTACCGTCTGAATGGCTACTCGCATGGTCTGTCTATGTCTGGGTGTTTCGAGGCGATGTGATTTGCCGTCTCGTCGCTTGGCTTGGTGACGAACGCGTCCCTGCTCTGTCCTCATCTGAGGTGGTCACGGATACTGGCGACCGCATCTGGAGCTGGAGTCTCTGCTCCTAGCTTCGTCTGAGATGATAGTGAATGCTTCCAGCTTGGACGAGACACTACTCGCGCTGACCGAGGGAAAGCCAGACGTATATGAGCTCTCACATCATTGTCTGAGTTAGCATAGGACCATTGTTGACATTGCTGGATCAAATGGACTAGACTTTAGAGTCTAATTTGTCTTTAAAATCTAAGTTGTCATGATATATTTGCTAGGTTTCACTACCGAGGCTAGACTGTCACTAACGAGACAACAGTGGCATATTTCGATGGGAGGTGGCGTGGGTACGATATCAGAATAATGCCTCAGTTCGGCCCCTTATCGGAGGGTTTCAAGTGCGGCAGGTGGGAATGGTAGACGATAGACGATATGCGATAGCGTGGTGGGCGATGTAAATAATGCGGGTGACAGGCACTGTGTGTAGTAGCGTGGAGGATTAGCGATGGTAGTGAACGAAAAGGGACTTCCGTTGGCGTCACCACGTTCATACCGCCTTGGTAACATCGGCTCGCTTATAGCGAACCATGCGTTTCTGGAATTGGTATTTCATGTTCAACAAGTTGTCCATCATGGTAGTGCACTTGCGTAGTGCACCATTTTTGCACTAACACCAACTGGGAAAAACGCGACTGAGGATGATATTTGATGTACAGTCCACAGCAGAAGTAATGTGTGGTTTCAGTCATGGGTATGTTCTGCTTCTGAAGCCTAGGAACGATTAGCCAGACTGCAACGAGACTTTAAATGTAGCTTACATGTATCTTCACCCTTGCAGCTACAACTTTATCTATTGACGTCTTCTTTTCAATCAGTCCGCATTTAAAAATCGTCGGTCAAAGCCATCCGTTGAGATTGGTAAAACCACACATTACTTTAGCGGTGGGCTGTACTTCATTTGTTCCGCTGAATGTTTCAAGGATTTCAATGGTGACCTCTTGTGGGAATGGCGATGACTTATACCTAGACGCACCGCCGAACATTCGTCATTGTCGCATCTCCATTTAAAACGGCGTCCTTCCAGAACATTGGTCACACGCCGCCTTGTCCCGTCTGGCCTCATGCATTATTCCACGGCAATATGACATTTTCGACGTAGTACCACCGCGGAATACTAACAAATTGCGGAGCCAGTTGTTATTCAGTATGCGATGTCAAGTACATGTCTTCTTATATTTTAGCTACCGAGATTAATGTCGTGGCTTATTACACAATAACATTATCTCAACTCAAATGTTTTATATATGATAATATTTCTTTGCCGTAAATTGTATCACTCACTACTTCCACAAATGTTACGGCTCATTTATCCCAGCTCCATTTCTTTCCATATCAGTGTCATGACAACCCCTCCCCCCCAATGAACCACCCCCTCACGCCTACCATGGTGGGCCCCGTGCCCACTGCAGTCCCCTGGCTCCCCACTGGGATGTCCCCTCGGATCCCCAGCTGTGGTGGACGTCGGTGGGGATCAGCCGGCGGTAGCCCCAACCCGACCCGGGGTGGGAGGAATGTGTTTACCGTGCTGACCCATCGCCCGCTCAGCGCGGTGTGCGGCCGGCGCTCTGGGACCGCTATCTCGCTGATGGAGGGACGCTCCATCGGTATTTGTCTCATCTCCGAGTGCGTTTGGACTTTTGATCGTTATTTGATGGAAAAGTTTTGATCTGCCTTAGGTGCCCCGTATAGAAACTGACTATAAAGAGATCCGCAATGTTTGGATACATGGGCAGTTATATTTTTAACATTTTTACTTCTAGTATTTTTTACTTATTTCAACATATTTTTTTTTTTAATGTCGTTGGTTGTCGAACTCATGGCGCTCATCTAAAAAAGGTTGAAACTCAAACGAAGACCGTATTTTTGTTATTATACAAGTCATTCCCACGAAAGGTATAGCTGACCGAGTATTCCTGGAAATATTGGCTAAACTCTTCATTGCATTGATTTGCAATCCCGGTACATCACGATTCGTCGTACCCATAGCGTTCATAGCATCAATAAAGCGTGACCACCGGGGTAATAGTTTTATCTGCGCTGTGATGGGCAGATCACGACGGAACCTATAACCCCTGACTCTTTGAGTGTGTGAGCTTGACCGAACCGGCACGACTTGTCTGACTTTGTATCGTTCGCGCTCGTGTCCTGTACGGTAGACGTTATGCTCGTGTGGGAAGTTAAAAATTATGTGAATGGCATGTGATCAAGTACCACTAACATGAAAGGCTTGAACCGTTGGATGGTGCAGTTATTTCTGCAGTTTATGTTATGTAACTGCTGCTCGATACCTTTAATTTATGCCCCATGATTGAAATTTCCATTGGGGGTTTTTGCGCTAACGTACACAATTACGCTTTTGTAAGTCCTTCCTCTGTTGTTCCTTCCTCGTTCCACGTATGATGCTGACGCCACTGCTTTCTTTTGTTTCTGACAGACTGATCAACATCCTGCACCCGGGAGCTGTGAAGAAGATCAACACCATGTCAGCACCCTTCAAACAGGTGGGAAAGGGACACGACCGTCGCTGCGCACTGCATTCTGCAATCTGTATGAGCTCTGGCAGTGATCGGAGGCCGGGCAAGAGACCCTGGTGGGGGCATGCAGGGTGTTTACTTGTGTTTACCATCCATCAGTTACTGGGAAGACGTAGCGATGTTGGCTATAAACTATCGAAATGGCATGGCAGTAGATTGACGATACGTAAAGTGAAGTTGACACAAAATACGAGTATGCTAAGGTCAAAGCTTAAAAGACACAGCAAGTACAATTCAAGAGATTTATCACAGCTCTCGTTCTGTTTGACTTCAAACGTTGCAATTCAGACAGAGGGCGCACTGCTATCGCTCAACGAAATGAGTCTGTTTCATTATAGCGTCCACGAATGGTGCTAGCTTTATGTGCGCCGTAGGAGTCTCCCCTTTTCGTTGGATCTCTCGGCCTGCCGTCGCCTCCTTACCCCAACCGATTCCTTGAGATAGCCGGCGGACCACAGCGTCCGCACGCCCCCACCGTCGCCGTGGCGCCGTAGCCGGCGTGCTGCAAGGCCGTGCTGCCGTGCTGCGTCGTGCCCGTTGTTTATGGTGACGCCGACCCGATCGGTGTGGGAACCCAAGGGAGGGGGGAAGGGGACATTGCGTCACCTCCACTCCGGTGGCGCAGCCGACGGAAAACTACGTCGTGCGGTTCAACGGGCAGTGGCATTGACAAACATTCGATCGTGGTGGTTCGGCCTTTGCGCATATAGCGTATTTGATCGCTAGGAGTCTATAGTTCGCTTTAGTAGAACGCCACTGATCAAAAGAAGGTCATATATGGCCCAAGCTTGAAGAGCCACGTGGAGTCGTGGCAAACTGGCTTATCAATCTTGTTGAATGTCACTGTCACTGTCAGTGGGAAGGTTATATCGTCATATTTCAGTTGGGCTTGTTTGACAAGTCAATACCAGAGACTATCTCCACGTTATGCTGCGCTCACGCGCCCTGCGTAGTGAGATATTCACTCTCCCTCGGCTGCCACCCTCTGTCTTTTGTGTTGTTTACTCACCTGCTCGTCCGGTTAGCCGTTGCCCTCCTATTGCGGTCACCGGGTCAGTTCGTTAGCCGAGGCCGGGCACGGGTCGACGATCTAATCGAGCCCGCCTGGACCGTGTTTTTGTGCACGCGTATGTGGAGCGTCGGGTCGCTAACGATGCCTCCGGCTGCCGCTGATGTTGCTGATGGTGCTGACGATGATGCAGAGGTGCCCGTCGTCGCCGTCTGACCTCGCCCGCTCGCTCGCCGTCGCCGCCGGCGGCTCCCGCTTCTGATGTCACGGTCTGGGAGCGACCGGGCGGTACGGTGCCCCGATACACAGCGTGTCAACAGACCGTGTCTCGGCCGTCCGTTGGCAGGCTCGTATGATAACAGCGAGGGCGCCGGTTCGGGGGCGCCGCGCCCCACCTCGGGGCGCCCTGTTTGTTTGTGGATGGCTGTACTGAGAGTGCAGTGATTTGCAGAGCCCGTGACTCGGTCTGACGTTTTGGTCGCTGGGATCTTGCGTAATGATTTTCGTCAGACGTGGGTGACCTTTTCTGAGTATGGGTTATCTCTCGGTAGGTGTGGGTCGATGTCATAATATCTTCGATGCCATATAGGAGCGTCTAATGCATTTCCGGGAATCTCAGAGCCTGGATAGAAAGTTACAGTATCCTTTTGCTGACAATGAGAGTTCGTGCAGCAATGCAGCATCTGTCCAATAAAAATTGAATTCTTCTAGCGCTGGATAGCTGTATAACGACTAACGAGCATCCTCTTACGGTAAGAAGCGCATGGAAAACATATGTGATTCATGGTTTGCTGCATGCGCCAAGGCAAAGAAAGTTCCACCACAGGCACCACATCAATTTCAGCCAGCATGCAGACCGCAGAGACCCACTTTTCACTAGGGAGACCGCCTGAGCGAACTTCTGTGTCATGACGGGATCTGACGGGTCCTGCTTCATACCCTGGGCAGAAAGATTATCCCCGGACAAGCCGCTCTCTCCTGTCACTCCTCCACTCTGCCGCTCTCACTCACCCCTCTGCCGCACGAGCTGGGGATTATACCGACCGTAGAAGGGGAGCTTCATCTGTCTCTACGCTTTTTTTTAGTTTCCACGGGGTCGTTTAGCTAACGAGGTGAAATGCTGTCGCGTGCATGTTCTGCAGCGCGAACTTGTCATTGTCTGCGTGTGCCTGCACTTTTTGCCGGTCCACCGGTCGTTTTTCCTGTCGAGAGAACAAATCTCTGACAAGTATCGGGCCCTTGTCTGACCTTTCCCGTCCACCCCTCCCCTCCGTATCAGAAAGATAACGCCGCTGCTGCCTCTAAAACGGTCGCGTTTGTCGGGGCCGATCATCCAATGATCCCGTGTTACCGTCGGTGTGATCAGACACCGACACACCCACACACACCTCTTGTACCTGAATCAGCGGACTGACTGCCGTATTTGGTCCGTCAGCGGTGACCCGCCCTGTCTGAGCAGCCGGCACGGAGTTCCGGGACTGGATCAGTATGGTTTGTTGACCACTGCATTGTCATGCTGAGTTCGGGTTATGGAGACACAATATCGGCTGACCACGTAGTTGATTAGATCCGTTGTTGCGTGACTCACTGGCCAATCTCGAGTGATTCAAAAATTCATTCTCAAAGCTCAAGTAGCTTCTCGTATGCAAATTCTGATAGGCTACTTGCCCTATTTTCGGGCTGATGCGCTGATTGTGCTTACTGGACTGTGCTGAAGCAGAGCCCATAACTATAGCTGTGGGCTGGATGATGAAGTAAGTTACCTTCCAAAGCAGGGATGCGGAGCCGGAGCCGGAGTCGGAGCCGGAGCCGCCGGAGCCGGCATATTTTGCCCGGAGCCGGAGCCGGAGCCGGAGCCGTGAAACAATATAGCCCGGAGCCGGAGCCGGAGCCGGAGCCGCCAAAAAAGGGGGCGACTCCGGCTCCTTTTTATTTTTTGAAGAGGAAAAAATAATTGACCTAGTTCGGTTTGACAGTACAAGGCAGTAAAACATATCGTACTATTGGTCTCAATATAAGTGCCCAGGCGACCTGTAGTTTTGATGCGGTGAATACCCTCACCCTCGCCACAATGCGAGTGGGGGTGGCGCTGGCTGGGAGGAGGGGTGCACTCGGCCCGAGTTGTGGCGAGGGTAAGGGTATTCACCGCATCAAAACTACAGGTCGCCTGGGCCCTTATCTTGAGACCAATAGTACGTCATGGGCCATCAATTGAATGAAAAGCCGAATATCCCCAGTATCCCACAGTACGCATTCAGCTTCCTGTCTGCTCCTCCCCCCTCACGTCTACTGCATCCCCAGAACATGAGGACCGGTCATCAGGTGACGGCCATTGTTTTGAAGCCAGTGCAGTGGACTGCGACTCCCAGCGCCGTCTCTTCCCACCCACCCCCCACCCCCACCCCCACCCCCACCCCTCACCCCCACCCCCCCAATGCAGCCGAGATGGGTGTCAGCTTACGATGGTTCAGTGAACTCCGATTCGCGGCGACTGCGTTTCCAATGCCATCGCTTCCTAGTCCTTTGTTCTGCCAGTGCTCTCCGAGGTGCGTTTGCGCGGGGAGTGCGGTGAGCCGGTCATGGCAAGAGTAGGTAACGCGTATAACCAATCCAATTTTTCTTCCACCCGTATTTAATTGATTGCATAGGGGATGTACTAAGTCGGAGCCGGAGCCGCCGGAGCCGGACCATTTTACTCGGAGCCGGAGCCGGAGCCGGAGCCGCCATAACATTTCACCCGGAGCCGGAGCCGGAGCCGGAGCCGATTTTTTTCTCCGGAGCCGGAGCCGGAGCCGGAGCCGTTTGAAATTTCCACGGCTCCGCATCCCTGTTCCAAAGGCCTGTCACGGTTTTGATTATGAGATGATGACAAACATCTGGCGATACCGTCTGTGACATCAAACTCGTGTTTTAAGGACGCTGGCCAGCCGGAAAATGTCCGTCCTGAAGGCAGCCACCTCTGGTGTTAGAGCTCTTTGTCCCGTTTTCCTGGAACTACCCAGTGTGAGCTCACGGGTTCGCGTCTGTGGTTAATCGGTCGCTTAAAGAGCCATTGTGCTCACTGCTCGGTGTTTGCGCTTGGAAGCATTTCCTTCCTGCGTTTATTTACATTCATTTTGAAAATGGGTGCTGTTTTTCACTGTCGTGCTACTTGTTTGCCTCACGTTCGTGTTATACCCACACTGTCAACACATTCCAGGAAGGCTGATGCTGTAATTTTTAATTTCTAATTATGCTAACTGGGTTTTCCTAATCAAATGGACGGACGTCTGGACAGTGAACAGCCCGCAGACCATTGGGACGGACCTCCCGGTAGCTTTGTCCAGTCACGTTTGGAATTCCCTGGCCCCTCGAGACCACGCATGAGGACCCCGTTGTGCCCGACGAGGGTGTACTTAGTGTCCGATAAAAAGAGCTGATGAATACCGCCATTAGCCGACCCAATCACTGACACAGATTGCTGAGACGGTCCGCACCGTTCACTGGTCACGATAGCAGTGCAGCCGTGCAGTGACCGGTCTTCGCGAACGTGATGCGCATACACACAGGGCAGAGCAGTGAGCCCCGACCCTCTTCACCTCCCCATCCGCAGATATGGGGTGCGGATTGCTCTCATAGTATTGCTCTCCACAGTGGTGCCACTTCTTTCAGACGCTGCCGTTGCTCTGCCGACAAAGCTGCAGCAATTGACGCCGGTCGCTCGGACGGCCGTTACTCATGTTGAGCTCTAGCCGTCCATCGAGCAGTTAGCACTAACTTCAGAACTGTCTGCCCAGCGGGCTTGTGATTGATTGGCGAGAGATTTCGAGGCCGGGACGAGCGGCCGACCGCGGTCGAAATCAAGCCGTTTGTAACTCGGCTGACTGGACAAGGCCACTCGCCCCCTCGCCCCTTGTGCACGTGCTGCTGCTGGTTGGCCCTGACCGCCAGTCAGCCCTCCCCCCCCCCCCTCAGCAGT